TCGGTTTTCTCGGGGACGCGTTGCTGTGTATAGGTTATACAGACGCACGGTTATAGGTCGTTTTCTACAGTTCTGCCGGCGATGAGAGCCAAGGAGCGAGAGACGAAGGGCAGCAAACACGACGATTACGAGGATGCCCCACTCGTCGATAGTACGCACACTGGGTATATACTATATTTAGATCCAGTCTTGGAACCTGTCCTATTTCTGTTTATTTTCAACTGGGTTCGATGGGCCGATTTTCTACTGAAATGATTTTCCCTCGCGTGAACACACGGTGCGCGCGTCTTTCGTGTTCATCACGGTTCAGGCACGGTTTTTTTCTTTTATTTGTCGCGGTCGATTCCCAATTGCGGGAACTTGGCAACGAATTTGCCATACTCAATTATCGAGTCGTGTATCGAGAGAGCGCGAGTGAGGCGTATGAAAGTGTTTCTATAAAGGAATGTTATTGATTGATTTAGAGGCTAAGGTTAGGCGCGTTATCTCTGCAACGAGCCAGAGAACAGTTACCACTACAACTTCTCGCACATTGCGAACGGATTTTTCACTGACTGTGTTATGAATAACTTTATTCCACAGTACGTTCTTCTTTTTGAAATAATACCAGCTATGAAATCAGAATGTATGATTGAAATAATTTCTGCATATTACCTTCGATGCACGTCGAGAAGAATTGGAAAAGCCCCGATCTGTTTTTCTTATAACCTTCGTTGCCAACCAACGAGCATGACGTTTAATAATTCCCCCGTATCTCGTTGCTTCCTCCATGGACGATGGTGGTGTCATCATTCCCGGTGTTTTGTGCAGCACGGGCGACGATGCTCAACTGAAATCGTTTGAAATCGGTTCACGGTACGGACACTCGGCCATCTGATACAAGCTCTTCTTATCTGCTCGATGTTACTCCACGGTGCAAATTATTTATTTCCCACGTTATCGGCGTGCAAAATCTCGTCGGCCCCGGAGAAAGTCAGAAATTCGTGCATCGTTGGATCCCGGGCGCCTCATCCCCCTTTTTTATCGCGATCGGCGGCACAGGGTAGGGAACATCGAACGTGTTTTCGTTTCGAACGCGCCGATGCGAATCGCACTGGCAGATATACTTCGCGGCCCGTGGTTCACGCGCTGTGAAATGCACCGGCACTACTTTTTCGACTCTTCCTCTCGTTTTTTCTCCCTCTGCTCCTTTCACTGCCAAACGCATATAAGATGAACACACGTACACGGTGGTTCGATCGAACCTCAAGGCAGATTACTCGTTATCTATCAGATTACTCGTATATATGGGGCAGAGTTGGTTTATTTAAACTGTTGAAAGCTGAAACGACGAGAGTCAACAAATGTGATTAGTTTCGAGTTTTCATTGGACACAAAGCATCATGTATATTATTTGCAGGTTACTACCACTTCTGAATAAATTGTGTAGATCGTGTAGGATCCCCTGCCCTGTTATAATCCTCTATTGCATGAATTTTTATGACGAGTTGAGAAAAAATATATATGGAAATAAATAATAAAATTTCATCGGAAAATGTTATTTATACATATATGCAGGTACAAAATCAATCAAATGAAAAAAGTGATTCTAACAGCATTCTTATTTTTTCCATAAAACATTGACGAGTGCATTGCAGTCATGCGGCGGGTCACACCTTTAAAGAACAATTTCTCTGAATTACGTATACATTATATCAGTATGTAACAATTTGTATTACATTATAAACGAAGCACCTACCTCAATACAATATTTCAGCGAATAAATCGCTCTCTACACGAAAAGAA